TATTAATGAAGAGATCAAATCTACACGAGGGGGGACTAGGCCAAAACCCCTCCTAAAAATAAACGACAAAAAAGCTGAAAGAAATAACCAGTATTGGGGGGGCTATACCTGACCCAATACAAAAATTTAAAGTATCTAAAACAGGGAATATTAAATAAATCAGAGAAATAAGCTGAGCGGGCCAAAGATGGTAAATCAGCAGCCCGAGTGATATATACACATTTCTTTTTATTGACAAAATTTTAATCTTTTAATTAAAATTTATTTCTAAAAAAGGTAAATCGTTTCAATTTGGGAATTTTGATTTAAAGTTGTCCCTTTCCCTATAATCCTCAACAGCTTCAAGCAAATTATACAAATAAGATCTAAACTTATCAAGTTTTCAAAATTAGGATTACAATATCACGTAAGACATAAGTGCATATGGTTTGACTATTATACTCTTAATTTAAAATCAACTCCTGCCAGCTTCCAAACTACACCCATGAAATCAATCGAAGAAATGGCGCCCTTGAAATCAATCAAAGAAATTGCACCCCTGAAACCTTCTTCATAGCTTCCAAATCCAACCAGCTTCCAAATCGATCTGCTTCATCGACTCCTTCCCTTCATGGCGACAACGAGGAGTCTACTCAAGTCCCTCCCCGCCCACTCATCTTCCTCCTTTAACCCGCTTAGTGACAGGATCAATGGAGAAATTTTCCATCCAGTGCACCTCCCTGAGCTCCATGACTGGTTCATCATATTACTCGATTAAGACCTCAAGAAGTTCAATGATGTCTATGTCGAGCAAGAGGAGGAGTTCATTATTCGCTTCCGATTTTACTTTTCCCCCTGCCACATACAACACTTCGTAGGTTTCAAGGGTTTTCCTACATTATTTTCTCATGCATAGGTACAATACAAATGATTAAGAACATAAAGATCTCTTTTGATGATAAAATAAATATTTGACTACAATCAGAAGGACGATGTGTTCAATCAACATACTTTTTTGTCTTCAAGCAGCAGGCTTCTGCTCTCGAATCAAAAGGGTGTTGATCCAGAAAATAAAAGACTCTGATTAAGGTCTACTTATGGGCATTAACCAGTCCGTAATAAGACAATAATTTAGAAAAAATTAGTTCGTATCGACGTGGTCCGTAATTGTTCACAACAAGATGATGGATATGTCAGGTGTATTTCAATATTCTTTACACATTATAAATGCTTACCTTTTTATTTAAACACTTACAGGGACAATTGTGGTATGTTTGTCATCAAATTTAATGAGTTTCTAATGATGGATAAAGATTGGAGTGAAGTTTTGGAGGAAGACGTTGATAGGTACCGCTAAAAATGACGACGGAGCTAGTGATGTATGCATCAAAATGGAAGTAGTTAGACTACGATGCTTTGTAATAATTAGTATTAGGTTGTTGGGAAAGAAAAAGCATGTAAGATTCATTCTTTTGGTCATTAAGCATTGTTCCCAAATATTGGTGACAATTGGTTTGACTATGTGTAATCTTCTTTTTTAATGTCATATCAAATGATTGGTCACTTTTATTTAGTGTTGAGTTAATTTATAATTCTGGTTGAAGTATGCAATATTGTCCATAAGTGGACAGTAATAAGTCCTTAGTGTCTCAGACGTAGACATTAAATTCATACAGTTAAGTGCAATCTTTAGTACAAAATTATGAAGCAACTATGAAACTTGATAGATTCAACTGTTGAAATGAAATTTAGATATATTTGTCATGCATAGGTACAATACAAGTCGCATGAATATGAACATAAAGGTCTATACATTTCTTTTGAAGATAAAAATAGATGTATGAGTACTATCAGTTGGCTGCTGTGTTCAATCAGCACTTCATTTCAAAGATGTTGTCTGCTAGTTCTGGAACAACTATTTTTCAATAAACTTGAGTTTGAACAAGAAGATAACATAATCTCTGATGCCAATAATCCATGATAAGTAACATAAACTCCTTTGGGAATAACCCACGGCTATGTAAAAGTGCGGCAATACAATTAAAATTCTCACAACTCTCACTGGATGGAATGAAATGAAAGTTATACAATACATTCTGAGTTTAAGAACTACAAGCTATAATAGGATCCATGTAAGACTTCTTATTTTGACCGCCTTTCTTTCACCATGTACATTGTTTCTATTGTCAAGAAGAAAATTCTCCAATTGAAGGTATATGCTTCTTTTTAAGCGTACTAGGTTGGCATGTGAGTCATGTAGTTGGGTTGCACATAACAAGAAGGTCTCAATCAAACCGAGAACGAATAGGGTGCACCACCACACCCATAAATTGTAACCATGTCATGTGTAAAGTAGATTTTTGAGATGTAATCATAACATGATAATCCTCAATAAAGCCACACATCTGCAACACCATGGACACATATGAACACAGACTAAATGCTCAAGTTGAAAAATACGACATAAACAAAGCATCTGGAGGTTTTGTCAACAACTTCAACAAACTCATGTGCAGTAACCTAAAAATGAGTATGCCAAAATAAATAGCAATAAATAAAAGACCATTTTTAAAAGAATAAAAACAATTAGAAATAATAATTGTAAATAGGTAATTAATTTACCAACATCATTGAGAACTCAACATGGAAGGTACAAAGGTTGGCCTCAAAATGCTCAGAGAGAATAGTTTTTTTTCACCTTCCTGTGCAAATAAAAAATAAAGTCTAACAGAAATAAAATGAAAGTTATAGAACATTGTAATTTGTGAATCTAAGAACTATGAACTGGAATAGGATTCCTATAAGACTTTTATTGTGTTCTCATTTCTTACACCTTAAACATTGTTGCAGTTACATATTAGCAAGAAAATGCTCTAGTTGAAGGTATACACTTGTTTTTATATCAACAGGGTTGGCATGTGAGGCATTAAATGGGTTGCATATTATGGACTGCATATAATTAGAAAGGTCCCAGTCAAAGCAAAAATCAATAGGCCGGATGCACCGGCCACACTATAAATAGTAACCCACTCATGTGTGAAGTAAATCCTTGAGATGTAATCATATCACGACAATCCTTGACGTTGACCCACAGTTCCAACGCCATGAACACTTATGGACTGTTTCAGGTGAAACTCACATCATGAACATACTTTGTCTTTAAGATTAAAAAAATACGTTTAGATGTTTTATTTCTCTACCACCTCAAACTCAAATTGAGTATCAGGTTTAATCTAAAACATCATACACAAGTACACAACCCTACAAGTAAGTACAAAGTGAATATAGATTATGAAAATAATAGAAGAACACAAATGTCATTTGAAACATACAATTTTCTAAATGCATTTGCATGAGTGTTTGATGACAGCAACTATATCTATTGTGATTTGATGATGGGAGGCCTTATTTGACATCAAGAGGGCATGTGTGACCAAAACGAGACTTGCAAACAATAGACAATACATAGACAGTAAGTAGCCAATAAATAGTCAAAAAATTCAGGCAATAGTATAATAGGATAGCAGGTAACATAAAACAATATATATACATACAATTCACTATATCCAATGATGAAATTACCTCGAAAGGTCATCAAGAAACTCCGCAATGAGGCGGTATATGTCATCACAACATCTGATTACAGAATTCATGATGTCGGAGAAGTACTCTAGTTCCGTGGTTGGGTCGGCACCAGATATATAAAGCAAAAGGGTTGAAAGTTCTTGAAATCGAAGGGATTTGTAAGCAAGCGGATCTGAGCCCCGGAGTCGCTGCTGAGAGACGCTGTTATCGATACTAAAATCGATGTAGTATACTATGCAATGATACAAGAGAGAGGGAGTTATGCAAGTTATTTTCTATTTTTAATCTCAAATACTAAAGTGAAGGGTAAAAATGGAAAGCAACAATAAAGTTTCCTAAAATAGAACTATATGAATCTCACACATGGAAAAAACGTAATTGAGTCTTACTTTTGTAAAGTTCCCTTGATTTGGTCTCATGGAGAGCAATTTTCTCCCTTCAAAATGGGCCGGCGGCGTAGCAGGGAAAAAGTTTAAAAAGTTAACAAAAGTTTGATTTTTAACGCTTTTTGAAAAAACAGAAGTCTTGAGGGATATATTATTCTAAATCGTAAGCCCATACGTGATATGTCTGTAACCAAAAGTCTTGAAACACTTATAAATTGTTGTTACGAAGGGTGTCTAATGAATTTGAATACGCTGCTTCCAAATACAAAATTAACGACACATTAATATAAAAGATTGAAAAAATCAATATAAATATTTATATTTAAATAAATTGAATATTCATTAAATAATACAACTAAAATATTACTCAAGTTACTTAATACTTGAGTTAAAGCAACACAACTCATTACTCGAGTAATTTGAATAAAAGAGAAATAAAGAATCAATGAATTAAAATCGATCAATCTGCATTTTTCTTCTCACTCACTCTATTTTAAGGATACATATTAATATATAATATTGCTATATAATGTTTTCAAAAAAAGTTGCTATATACGGAGTAATACGGAGTACTAATCAATTTTTTAAAAATAGGACCTCCTTAATTGGTGAGGTCTGTTCTCTATAGAACCGATTTAAAATGTTCAAAACCAGCTTTGATCATTATTACATATCACGTACCAAGGCTAAATTAGATTTATGGGAATTAAAAAGGAAAATTTGACAATAATAATCTCACATTTGAATGGTTTTCTCATAATAATCTCACATTTCCGCAACCTTAAAATAATTTCACTTTTGCGCATCATCTTTTTTCATTAGACCTTCACTAGTTGGTGACATACTATACCAATTTTTGTCATTTTCTTTGAAAATCTTATATAAATAATTCCACCTTACACAAATCTACCAAAACATTTCCACATTAAAAAAAAAAATCATCTTTCTTATAATTTCATTTATTTAATTTGTTTATGTTTTTTCTTTTCTTTTTTCTCAATAGTTTTTTAATTTCTTCTTCCCTAAGGGCCGGGTGCTCCAAGAAAAAGTGAAGACAGGACATTACGAGAGAGAGAGAGTAGACTGCGACAGTTTCCCCTTTCTAGGGTTTTCTTCCGCCGATTAGGTGCGGCTTTCTTCTTCGGACGATGCGCAGTGCCCTTATGGCGGCGAACACAAGTTCGTTCCCCAACGGATAAGGCCAGGTCTATGAAACCAGAGACTAAAGGCATGAGCGAAGGTCATGGGCGAAGTTTGGACATAAAGACTGGAACATATATGGATTCGAGGTCATCTGTGTTTGGTTGTAAAAGTAGAGGCTTGGCAGAGAACATGATGAAAAAGAGGCGGGATGAGAAAGAAGCTACAGTACTGTTGGCTCGCCCCCCTCCAGAATCGCCGTCATGGAGTGCAGAAGAGTGTAGGGTTTGGAAGATGACGAGTGAAATATGTTTTAGTTCCATTTTATTTTGTTAGTGTTTTTATTTCGAAATGCATGCTGCTTTGGTTGTGTTTTTATTCCTTATCGAAATAACTCTAGAATTTAAGACATGTGATCAGAAGTTTGGTTTGCCTTGCCTGTCATTTGCTTCAGTTAAGCCCATTACATGATTAACGAATCTAATTGTTTCTACGGAAGTGATAGATTCTAATTCTTGTTGAAGGGTGAACGACAGACATATGTATTTTTGTCGTTTTGTACCCTGCTTACGTTCTATTATCTTAATATATAAGCCACTTTTGTTCAGAAAAAATCTCCTTCTTCCCTTTTTAAATCAAGTCACAAGTAGATAATGAGTCAGTGCAAACTAGTTGGTGAATATGTCACTTTTTTGAAAAAAAATGGATGTATTTTTGTCTTTTGAATTTAATTTAGTAATATTCATAAAAAAAGTCTTGTACTCGGTATATAGTAAATATATGTGTTTGTGTGTTGAACTATTAATGAACTTTTTCGGTGCGAAAAAATTTACTCCGTAATATTTAAGAAATGTGATTTAAATACATCCAGTCATCCACGCAGTTGAGTAAAAGTGCATTATTTCATATATTAAACGTTCTTTTTACTTGGCCCCTTTGGCCCTATATATATGGACACATGGGATTCTTATCATTCCTTCATTAATTAATTACGTCCTAGTCCTAGCTAGATTATTTGACATTACCAATATAATTCAAAATGGTGGAAATGGTAAAAATGGGTTTAGAAATTGCAGCAATAGTTGGGGATATTGCGGCAACAATCTGTGGGTTTATGGCGGCATACAGGAATGCGGGCTTTGTGGTTTGGGTAATAGCAATGCTTCTCAATCTCCTTGCTTTCATTGCTTCTGTTCCTCTTGGATGTTTTCACTACGAACTGTTTTATGGTTGGAGATCCAAGCTTCTTTGGTGCGTTTTCTGATCTCTTCGTTCTTAAAAAAAGTGTTTTTTGTTAAAAGTTCTTTCATAAAAGTATAAATTTATAACTTCCGTAAGGGCATCATCGTCCATGAAATTATTTGAAGATCATTTTGATAACGTGGAAGATCTTTTTAGAGATTATGATTGAGGATATATATGATATTATTTAGATAAAGATCTGACATCAAATATTAAATCCTAGATTATTTGAGATTATTCTCAAGTCTCAATAAACACATTTAATGCCACCATATTCTAATTTGGATGACTAAAATACCTCCCTGAAAATAAATATTATAAAACTCCATAAAAAACCAACTAAATAAAAATAAGGTTGAGTGAGAATTAGTAAACTTTGATTTTATTTAGTGGCAATGACACAAGAAAAATGCACATGCAAAAGATCGAATATTTGAAGAGCATGGATGAAAAAATGCTTTAATGTTATATTAATCAAAATCCTTGTCTATATTTTATGAAATTTCAATCAAAGTTTTTTAGGATGAAGGTAGTATATAATTAGTAAACTCATTCATTAAATCATACCTAGTACATGCATAATAATGGAGTTGATCGAATTGGGACACATTTAATTTATGGTGACAATAACTCCGGAACCCTTCTAAAAAATGGGGTACCGTACATACCATTCATTTGATTGGACCACATCACTTTATCATTTTTAATTTAGATTTACATAATTCAACTGCTACATTCTCATTGCTCCATGTGGACAAAGGTATGGTACCTTTTGGGTACCATAAAATCTAAATTTGTGGATCGACAATGGAGTGTTTTTGGTTTTGTGGACAAAAACATCGTTCATTCAATGCTAATAAAAAGAACAAGAAAAGTCAAAAGACAAGCAAATCATAATTTCAACACAAAGTTATCGTAAGTATGATTAAAACTCTATCACTTTCTCAATCTATGACCTAATTAATTTTTTCTCCAAAATAAATTTTAAATTTGTAATATTTAATTAATTTCATAATTAATAAATAAATAATTTAAAATGCCTATAAAACTCTAGCTTCCCACTCTTTTTCTCCAACCCTCCTAGCCTATAGCCTCACACTCCTGTTGCACGGCCGCCTGTCGATGTTGTCCCACCTCACGGCCGCTGCCGCTGCCACCCCACTGCATGGCTACCTACTTGATGCCTCTGTCTAGCCTGCTCGCTTGCCGCTTGAGATTAGGGTTTGTGGGCTTCTTCTTCTTCTTCTTCTATTTAATGAAATCAAGATTTGCTAACATATGGACCCCACCGCCCCGTCATAGCCGCCATCAATTAGCACGTCCGCCGATCACCGCCATCCAACCGCACAATGTTGGAGACGAACTCCACGTAGGTTGAAGACGAACACTACATAGGTTGAAGACGATTGAAGACAGTGTAGAGTGGATTCTAGGACAATGAGTAATATATACTCCCTCCGTCCCAATTTGATTTGCAAAATTTTCTTTTTTGGTCGTCCCAAAATGGTTTTCCACTTTCTATTTTAAGTATGTAAATAAGAATAAAGTGACAAATTTACCCTTACTTTTACTTGTTTCCCATTAACTTAAAGACATCTACTTTTAGAAAGATGGACAAAAGTGTAAAAAGTTCGCATCATTTATTGTCATTTCTTAATCCTTGTGCCGGTCAAAGTTCGCAATTCAATTCGGGACGGAGGGAGTACGTAATAAGTAATATGTATTTAATGCAAAGAATATAACCAAGCATTCCAGCCCAGCTGGTTGTGAGGTTACCGTGCCTAGTGGGGGGTCTCGAGTTCGAAACTTGCTAGGCATATAAGGGTTTGAAACACAATGCAGTGAGTTTCAGCCCTACTTAATTACTCCAGGCCGCGGCTCCCCAGACCCCCCCCCCCCCCCCCCCCCCCCCCCCCGGAGTAAAAAAATGCAGAGAATATATATGATATAAAGTTCAACGATTGTGTCAAGAAGCAATTATATGATAAGAAATGCAGTGATTATGACTACAAGTGGTGTAATGTAGAGCATTAATAGTGACATAAAGTGCATCTATCAAATCGCTATCTAAAAGAAAAAAAGAACTATAAATTCCAAACGTTTTTATGATGTTGTGTCATAACTCGGTCATGAAGTGCAGTAATCCCGACATAAAGTGCATTTATATATTTATATTTAATTATACATAAAAACTAAAGTTATGAAATCTAAACAAAGAAAAAAAACGTTAAATTCATTATATTTTCATAATTCCATAAAAAAGATTTTTGTAATGTCGTGCGTTAACACCCGCATAAAGTGCATTATTTTTAATTAGATGAAAGCAGTGCAAAATGTACCTTAAAAAAGGTATATATTTTCGTCCTTCAACATTTTAATACGATGAAATTTTTTGTTTTAATTTTTGAACACATAAATGTCTAAAAACAAAGTTAGTCATATTTCGGGAACAATAAGTTTTAGTGATGTCATTGTAAATTTCCCTAATTTCAAATAAAAGGATGATATTGAGTTAGTTGATAAGGAATCCATATTTTATTAAGTACACCATCTTATTCTATTTCTACTATTTTGTTGGTGAACTAATAAACTAGGATATAAAGATATTGGATTACTCACCTATAAATTTTACATTTAGAATGAAACTTGAATCTTAACACTTTTAGGAAAATAAAAGATAGAACAGGTCCTCTTCTAATCTAAGTAGGGAGCAGTTTGCAATTAGCATGGGCTGGTCTTGGCCATACATATGCATCCATATATTACACCCCCTCCATCCCGAAAAGGTTCGCCAAATTGACTTTTCTTGTTCAATGACAATCAACTTTGACCAATGATATTTTTAATACGAAATTATTTAGAATATGAAAGTTATATCAAAATGTTCTTTATTCATAATATTTTCATTAAAGTATAAAATTTATAAATTATATGCAAATATAATACTTAAAATCATTATACAAAGTTCATCATCATTGACTAAGAAAAGTCAATATGGCAAAACTTTTTGGAACGAAGCTACTACTACTATATATAGATGTCATGAAAAATTAAGAGATCCGTATGTGTGTGTGCAGGGCATATGTCATGATACGGTGCAGTCTTGTGGCTTTTGGATTTTTCGGTCGTCCTTTCACGTTCTACGCTGGATTACTATTTTGCATCTATGATATTGGGGTGTTTCTATTACATTACACCGGATGCGCCCCTCACATTGTAACGCCAAATATTGAACTCACAAATGTGAAATAATAGACTTTACATCTCTGCCATAAATCGCTTCTCACAACCAATATCAAACACAAGCGTAACATTATCTATATATAAGTTTTAGTTCAAATAAGAACATGATCTTAGGAGAGAAATGCGAATGAATCTGGACCGTTAGATTTGTTTTAAGTGAAAGTCATTGTTCATTAGATGAAACTGTAATGTGCATTATGTAAATATATATATATATATGTGTGTGTGTGTGTGTGTGTGTGTGTGTGTTACGTTTAGACCCCATTTATCTCAGTTTATTAGGTTACTGTATTTTTTTGCAAGATATTAGTTTACTGTATTAGTCGCCTATAAGTATATATATACTAGCGTGGGCACGCGCGTTGCGCGACGGACGATGCCCAATGTTGGAAAATTAACAAGGAAATAAATGAGAAAATATATTAATTGACGCATTCATGTAAGTTAGAAGTATCCCGTCACAACAAAAAATGAGTTTAATGTGTCAATCACATGAATAACAGCCATTAAGCGTGCTGTTGGAAACGAAAAGTGCAGTGAATGTACCTGTGTTATTTGATGTGTTGGAAGAATCAGTGGGTGTTCCAACAAGGTTTAAAGAGAACCTCTACTTGTCAAACATGACCACCTCAAACGTGAAATCGCCAATGTTCCTCTGGAGAATATATGTGCCAAATTCAGCATTATTTTCTATCAGGAAATTCAGCAAATCCATCAGAGAAAGAGAAGTCATCAATTTTGACAGTCTAGGTGGCACCATAAATAAGGCGAGCGTGAGCCTTGGTGTGCTAAAAAAGATGTCCATGCATACAGAGTGGACAATATAATTACAAAGTAAACAATATTTGTGAAAGTCGACAGTAAGAAACAAAATAAACATGAGTTAATGTGAAGAAAGAATTGTACAACAAGCTCGATGTCAGGAATGTTCAAGAGAAACCAAACGACTGTGAACTACAGGGCATCCGCGAAATGAACTAAACCAGTACTCGATCACGCTAAAAAGGTTGAACAATAGCAAACAAAAAGAGTAAAACATGAACAAGGATATGTAAGGAATTCAGTTTTGATAAAGGAGGGGAAATGGTGCATAAATAAACTGGAATAGAGAAGCAACTTGCAATCAGAGGCATTGAGGCACCTCGTCGCACAAAG